GGGAACAATGCAGTTAGCAGAGGTACCGTAAGTCCCCTTGGTCCCTAGTATGGTGACCTTAACCTTGTTGCTGGTGATCTATAGCCCCATTTTTATATCGTGTGTCGTATCCTGATAATCAGACAGTTTTAATGTTCTACAACTAGTTTTAAGTTAATCTGTGATATATTGCTCGTTGACAGTTATTATTAATATTGTCTAACTCGTTCAAGTCACATTATGGCTGAAATATTGCCGACGTCACTTTAATTAAACTCACTCACCCAATGGTGATCATGCATCCGAAAAGTCCTGCAACCAGTTGTTGTGCCACATTTCGACAAACACCCTCTCGCCTACCGAACGGTGAACATAGATGACAGTGCTAGAACCAGATCGTTCCCGGGAAGTAACAGCTTTTCTCCAGAATGACCCTGTGGTTCCATTGCAGTAGCCTACCATGAGTCCTGACCTGAACCCGTTGGAGCATACTTTAGACATCTCAGGGTGTTGAGTTTTGCCCAATTGGAGGCAGCTCTTCAACGGGAATGGCTGCAGCTGGACATTCAACAGATCCAACGACTTGCTAGATCTGTTGAATGTCAGACTGACCTGACATGGACACACACTGATCACCCTCTGCCTATGAATAAAACATCTGACAGTCTGACAAATCATTCTGTCAGTCCTTGTGAAATGTCTTCCACTTCTGAAACTGTAACTAAGGCTCAGGCCCAATTTACAACTACTCCTGAAATAGCAGCTACTGTCACACCACCAGCAGAAATAAAAAAGTAAATAAAACAGGAAAATTACAACAAAGATCCCCACTCTTACTGAAACATCTGTTCATAACTTGGATGTTAATCCATCTTCACATCACAACAATAGTTGTGATTCCTCTTCACGATCACGTGAGCGATCTCCCGTAGAACCACCATGAACCATTCAAATATCCTTCAATGGAATTGCAAAGGGCTAAGGTGGCACAATTTCAATGAACTACAGTTATTAACAACAGATTTTATTCCATCAGCAATTTGTTGACAAGAGACGTACCTAACAAATACAGATAAATTTGATTTAAGGCAGTATAGTTCCTATCATTACTTCTGTCCTCCGGGAGATAAAGCTACTGGAGGTGCTTCTATTTTGGTGCGGCGGGGCGTTGTTTACAATCCTGTTCCGCTTGACTCGAATCTGCAAGCAGTTGCAGTTATACTTACACTGCATATTGCCTTCACATTTTGCTCTTTATACAATCCTCAGCGGAATGAACTTCAAAATCTATACGACCAACTCCCAAAGCCCTGCATCATCATGGGTGATCTAAATGGGCATAATCCTTTATGGGGAAGTTCTATCATTAATCAAAAGGGAAAAGAGATCGAGGATTTTGTTTCCGATAATGATCTATGCATCTTTAATGATGACTCGGACACTTACTTACACCCTGCTACAGGTACATATTCATCATTAGATCTGTCTCTGACGGATTCAATTTTGTTAAATGAATTCTCCTGGTCAGTCCACGATGACCTATGTGGAAGTGACCATTACCCCACTGTGCTTAAACCCATTAATCCCACTGATGATTGACCTTCACCTCAATGGAATTTTATGAAGGCTTTTATTTCAATCTTTATGCAAAGATAGATTACAACCTACGTCTTTTCAGAATGTTATTATTTAAGCAAAATAAACGTCAATCATGGAAGAACTATGTCTCAAAAATAAACTCTCGAACTCCTATGTCCAAGGTATGGAAGATGATTAAAAAGATCAAAGGCAAGGGATCACATTCTACAGTTAACCATCTAAAGGATGGCGATACTTTACTAACGGATAAATCTGCTATTGCCAATAGACTTGGGAAAACTTTATCTCAACATTCGTCTTCATCAAATTACGTTCATGAATTTTAAAAAATATCAGCTCCAACAGGAAAAGAATAAAGTACATTTTACATCTATTCATTATCAGCCACTAAAACACTTGCCTGAATCATGTCTTGAAACTATGTTGAATATATTTGATGACATTTGGACATCAGGGAACTTTCCACCTTCATGGCATAATGCCATTGTTGTCCCCATACCTATACCCAAACCTGGACGGGACCATTCTGATCCATCAAATTACAGACCAATATCTCTCACTAGCTGTGTCAAACTATGGAACGCATGGTTAATAATCAATTGGTGTGGTACTTGGAAACAAATAATCTCATTGCCAATTTACAATGTGGTTTCTGGAAAAACAGAAGTACTATCGATCATTTGGTGCGTTTAGAATCGTTCATTTAAAATTCCATTGTAAATAAACAACATGCTGTAACGATCTTTTTCGACTGAGAAAAAGCTTACGATACCACATGGAAACATGGTATTTTAAAAAATCTTCACGATTTTGGATTAAGAGGCCGTCTGTCTCACTTCATATCTCAGTTTTTAACAGACAGGCAATTTCAAGTCCGAGTGGGTACAACACTCTCTGATCATTATAATCAGGATCAGGGTGTCCCACAAGGCTGTATTTTGTCTGTCACTTTATTCAGTATAAAAATTAACAGTTTTTCAAAGGTTTTAAATGATTCAGTAGATGGATCACGTCTTGTGGATGCTTTTAATATATCTTGTCGTGGTAAAAATATGCACACAGTAGAAAGGCAATTACAATTATGTCTCAATAAGATTCACAAGTGGTGTCTAGAGAACGGGTTTAAATTTTCAAAATCAAAAATTAACTGCATACATTTCTGCAGAAAACTTAAACCTCGAGCTCATAAGGACCCTGAACTGTTTCTAAATGTCAACCCTATCAAAGTTGTGAAAGAGGCCAAGTTCTTGTGACTTATTTTTGATATCAATTTAACTTTACTCCTACATATTAAATACCTAAAAGCTAATTGTCTGAAGGCACTCGATTTATTGAAAGTAGTTTCTAATTCAAAGTGGGGAGGGGATCCAACAGCCCTCTTACACTTGTATAGATCACTGATCCGTTCAAAACTTGATTATGGCTCCATCGTCTATGGTGGATCCTGCAAAAGTAATTTACAAAAACTAGATACGATCCATCATCAAGGCCTGAGGCTTTGCCTTTGGGACGTCTCCCATTCATAGTCTTTCTAATAAAGCAGATGAGCCTTCTCTTAAACAACGCCGTCTAAAATTATCTTTACAATACATTACTAAATTATATTCTAATCAGTTAAATCCAGCTTTTGAATGCATATTCAATCCTCTGTATGAAGATCTTTACAATAAGAAATCAACACTCACTCAACCACTCGGAATTAAATAAAATCTGCCGTATCAGCTTCTAATATTGAACTCCAAGATATAGCTCCTACTCAACTTTTTTCACCTCCTCATTGGCAAATGGTCAAGCAAGAGGTAGACCCCACATTCACAAAACTAAAGAAATCAGATAATAACCAATTAATTTACCAACAAGAATATAATCAATTAAGAAACAATTATAACACTTACAAATCTATAATTACAGATGGATCCAAGGATGGTGGCGCAGTTGCTAGTGCCAATGTCATTGGATCCAGAACAATATCTTCACGATTACCTGATAACAGTTCCATATTCACTGCAGAAGCAAACGCCATTTTTGCAGCACTAAAATATATCAGTAACCAAACTAAACATAAACAATTCATAATTTTTTCAGATTCTCTTTCGTGCCTTCGGGCGATTAAAAATATGTCACCCAAACATCCACTTTTAATCCAAATTTTCGAAGTAATGAATGATCTTGCTACTGACAAATATGACATCGTCTTTTGTTGCTTACCAAGCCATGTTGGAATCATTGGTAACACAATGGCTAATGCTGCTGCACAAGCAACATTCAACAAATCTGTGACACCACTTCTAATCCCCTACACTGATTATAAACCTATAATTAGATCTTACATCCGTGATCTGATGCAAAAGAAGTTGCTGATCTAAGTAGGTATCTATAAATTACATGAAATTAAACCAAATATTGGTTACCCCTACTTGGACTGTCAGTCCAGATTTGAAGAGGTCAAAATGCGACGATGTCGTATTGGCCATAGCAGGTATACACATGAATATTTGTTGAAAGGTGAGGATCCTCCAGTTTGTATCCCTTGTGATGAGAGAATCACGGTCAAGCATGTCCTGCTTGACTGTATTGATTTTGCCATCACAAGGGATAACTATTTCAAACATTCATTCTTCAAGGATCTTTTTAATCTTAGTTCTCATTTAATCGACGGTTTTTTAAAGGAAATTGAATTATTTCATACATTTTGAACAATATCTTCTGTATATAATAAGTGTGTTTTTAAAAATTGGTTGAATAAAATTAATAACTGAGATTGTTAGTGGCTGTATCCTCAAAGTGGGTTAAAGTAGTGTAAAATTATTGTCCCACTGAGAGGGTATGTAAGACAATGTCTTTCAAAGTATATTTATTTGTACCACACTTTTAATCGTAGCATATGTGTTTCTTTAATGTTAGCTAACTTTATCAATAATCGCCAACAGCTGAAGGGATGATGTAAATCCGGCTGGGGTCCATACAAGTAGCAAAAGTCCCCATGGACCCTAGCATGGTGATCTCTCTTCAGTGGCTGGCGATCAATAGCTCATTTTTATCCTGTATTGTTTCGTATGATGTTATATTTTAATGGCTATCTACTAGTTTTAAATATAATCTGTGATAAATCTAGTTATTTTACTGTCCATCGTTGACAGGTTTTTATTCAGTCTAAATATCAGTCTATTAATGTACTTCTCGTCACGATATGGCTGAAATACTGCCGATGTGACGTTAAATATTAACTCACTCACACACTCCCTTTTTCACAAACTTCTAAATGTCGCTTTAAGAAGTATAGAACTTGCCCTCAAACATTACACTGTGCGGTTTTCCAAATACTCATGTTAAGGTTATGTTGATAACTCTCTATCTCTCTCTCAATTTGATTTATGTGTGTGTTGTGTAACAGACAGACACGTGAAATTATACACAGTGAATTGCATTTGCTGAGAGCTTTATTGGAAAGAATTCAGTTAATGAGTTCTAATAATTGTACTAAAACATGTTAACTCATTAACCGATCAATTCTACACAGCGTTTCTCAACACATTAGTCTCCTTGGCACTGTCCTGTGTAATAATCAAGGTTTTCGATTCCAGTAACTACATCCTCATAGTTTCTTGCTCGATGCACATATTCCTCATATTCTTCAACGCGATGTTGGGTAGCTGGTCCGAAGTAGATCAGCTGAAGTTGGTTGAAAAATTATCATTAATAACAGATAGCAAACATTGTCATTACAGAGTCAAACATATACAATATATTGCAGATATTTAAGAACACAATGCCATTTTCTCAGAGACGAGTGTTGTGTTTCACTTGAAGAACACTTGACACTTAAATTTCAACCTTGATGGTCCGTTTTGCCAAGTTTCCAATGGCATCGCCGGAAATCCCTTAAAACTTCAGCACAAAAATGTACATAACAATTACTGGATCATTTACCTCTGCGTCCAACGATACAATTCTATATTTTAGTTTTGTGTCATTAGTCTGGTGCTCCAACAGTTAATGACTTGATTACATACGAAATTAGGAGTAGCCTCACAATGCTGCTCATCTTCTCTGTTGCGTGACAATGGCTATACAGAATCAACTGTCGTGGCACAAGGCTCTTTGTAACCTTCATGTGGGTATTCTGAGATCGGTGTGAATATGACATGTAGAAATCGATGATTCTTCTTACTCATGCCTCAATATATGTACAGTAGTAGACTTGCTTTTTCAGTTGCGAAAAGACATTATACATGTACATGTACTTGTTAAAATCACACAATACCAAGCAAATGGTTGATAAAAAAACTGTTGACAGTCCAGGTGCGATCCCATAAAGAATTTCACATTTTGTTTTTGATGAGGAGACACAGCGCTGTCGTTTACTCAGAATCAGCGATCAACACCTGTGGTACTGACCTCAACCGAGAAACCAGTGAATAAAATTATGGCTTGTTCCAAACCAAACAAACGAAGGACTAGTTGAACCTAACTAGTTATGGCCTAGTGAGCTTTGTAGTGACCGGACCGCCTCTGTGGTCTAGTGGCTGAGAGTCCGCCCGGAGAGCGAAAGGTCCGGGGCTCGATCCCCGGCCGTGTCATACCAAAAGACGTTAAAAGATGGTACTTATTGTTACCCTGTCTGGCGCTCGGCTAAAACAAGGACTGGTCGACTCGGAGTTAGTATACTGTGTCTGAGTGGGGTATTCATGTTAAACTGCGGCATGGTATCTCAGTGAGCTAGCACAATAAATAGGCATCAGTACGGACTAGTACAAGCAGCCACATACACGTGCATGCACGTTGCTATATAAGTGCAATAATCTTGGACGCGACGTTAAACCCTATTTCACCTCACCTCACCTCACCTCACCTACAACTTTTTATCATCTCGAAGCTAAAGATGGGGCCCCCTTTGTTCTCTTCGTTAAGTGTGGGTAACTGGGTTACGTCGACGGAGTGCACACGAGTTACCAGCAGGGTGCACCGCGTCATACAATGCACATGTGTGTAAGGAGAATGAAGGCAGCAGTGTAGTAATAATGCATACTCTATTACTCTTGTTTGTTTCTTGTTTAATTAAAGAAGTATAGTATCTGTACCATCTAATAACACAACACTGAAGCTTCATTGCTGTATCATAATAAGACAATGAAACCTTTTGTGACTTACCTCAAGCGGGTAATCTGCCAGAGTTCTGAACACTGCCATTTGCTGGCCGAACCTGACTATGGCAGCATCTCTCTCAAGCGTCCATTTAAGCATTTCGTTGTATTCCAGTGTTGACAAGCCTGAAAAGAACACGGTTGATAAGATTATTGACTTTGTACCTGTATGACAAGAGGTATAGCTTCAACTTCCGTTTGTGTCGAGCAATATCAGGGCAGCTCCAGCCAACTTAGTGTCCCACGTATACTATGTCTATCGTAATAAGTAACTAAAATGGATCCGGTGATCAGGCTTGGTTTGTTTGTTTGTTGTAGCAATGTTGTCAGCAATATCCCAGTTAAATGACGGCTGTCTGGACCAGACAATCCAGTGATTGACATCATGAGCATCGATCTACACAATTGAGATACGATGACATACATAACCAAGTCAGGAAGATCCTGACCAACCGATCCCGTTAGTCGCCTCTTAAGACAAGCATGGTCGGCTTTTACGGCAAGCATGGGTTGCTGAAGACCTATTCTACCCCGGATCTTCAAGGCGTGGTATGTGGCTGAAATATTGCCGATGTGACGTTAAATCCAAACTCACTCTGTCACTCACTCACTCACTCACTCACTCACTCACTCAAGGCTTGGTGACTGTGTTGATCATAACGTAGTGTACCCCTGATTTACCCACCTACACCAGAAATAAAATAGCCCATTGCCACCGATATCATCTGTTTCATATTTAGAACAATGTATGAAGATTCAGAGTGACAAAAACTCTCTACAATACTTGTGACAAGAGGTATGACATCAACTTTCCATTTATCATCTTTTTCTTCATATCGAACAATATTCCAGCATCGATCACCACCCTTTGGTGTCTACATATCACAACTTTTGAGGTACAATCGAGCATGATTTTTCTTCCCCGATTTCAAAGAGCGTCATACGACTCATGCTCAGATGTTGTTTGAACCCTTCAAGGTCTCAGTAAAGCTTTTAAATCGTTTTAATTGTTTTGTCGCTTGTATTTACCTACATCGGTATCATCCCTTTACTGATTTGCATCTATATGACATACTGTAATAAACCCTTGTTTAATTAAACTGCTGTCATTGCCAAAGTTATCATACAAAGTTCTCATGCAAACAGTTAGAGAGTCGTCAATGGTTTCACTTAGAACAGTTTTCACCTCTCTCGGGATAGACCACTCTGCCCATCACAAGGCGATGATTCTCGAAAGATGTTGCCCATAAATCACTGGTCAGGTTGACACCGAGTTCCTGTGCGAAGTCACTCACGTGATAGAGGGATGTGACACGGTACTCATATCCCTTGCTTAATAGAAAATCTGTCAGCTGGGACCAACTGCATGCTTTCTCCACATCAAGAACTGGAACGTGAAACACAAAGTTCTACCCATCATTTTTTGTTTGGAAGAATTATATTCCTGCTTACATGCAAACAATATAATTCTCCTAGAAAGTCCTGCTTGGGCTAACTATCTGAGATTTTGATGTATAATACAAACCTTGTCTATTCTCCTTCAATTTAAAAACTAAGAAGTTCAATCAACTGATAATTTCTGTACGTCTAACATCTGCGGCCTGTGTTAATGATTTTTTTTATATAATGGGTAGTTATCTCGGCAGAAAATTAGCCAACGGATGAAAACGATATCCGTTGGGATCATATGCGGATAGAGATGCCACAATCAAAAGTCAGGTAGGGACTACTTTCAGCGCTTACAAACAAACATGGCGTCTCCCTTGTTATTCGGCGATCGAGTTAGAATCAACCATCGGGAATCAAGAGAAATTACTTGGATTATTGCCATCATTACTAAAAGAATAGACAAATATTCTGAAATGTTTGACTGTAACGAAACTTAGGCATTTTACAAGTTTTTGCAAATTTGGGGGAAAATTTGGGGGGAAAATTGCAGAACAATTTAGCGAGAACGCCAGCCGAGTGGGATCAGTTTCCACATCTGCGCTTGTAGACCTCTGCGGCTTGGAACCTTTTCCCCAAATTAAAACAGTTGGAGTGGCCGCAATATATCCGAACTGTTTCTTATTCGCGTTGTTGTTGTGTGAACATCTGACTGCACTTCCTAACGTTATGACAGGAGAAGCAGACTGGCAACACATGTAACGACTCATAGACTAGGGTTAGATAAGCTTCCCTTTGATAAAGGGCAGTTACTCTAGAGGACGGACTGATGGATTGCAAGGAAAGCAAATATGCAGTTACGCCACTGTTTTAGAAACAGGTTTGAGTTGGAACTGTATAGGCTGTTGTCACTGTCCCGACTGACACATCACTTACCTTCTGACGTAACATTCAAGGAAAACTTGCGATGTTCAGGTAATGTTTGTGAGAGATGGGAAGAGATTTTTCGAGCACAGAATTGAAGAATGACAATATATGACTAAGAGGTTATTTACCATCCCCAAACACACAGGCGTGATAAACTCAACATAATCTCCATCTCTCAACGTGGATGTTGTTGTCATGAATCCCAACATGATTTGGGGATCACCAGTAATGCAATCCCTTATTTTGTGCATTTTCGAAGAAGGAAATAAGAAGCATTTTATTTACCTTTGTGCAGCTTCCGGTTTCTTACAAATTCCAAGAGAAAAAACGGGATTTATGTTTAATTACTTAAAAATCAAAATTAAAAAGTAAGCATTACTATAATGACATATAATCACAGTGGGCGTGTAAAGGTATATTAACCTCTTTTTATACATATATACTGATGATTACTAAATTGTTTATATAAAACATCAACGCCAGATAACATCATCCTCCAATACCCGCTCAGATTCCACTGCGTCCAACAGGTAAAATAATAGTGAACATGTATTAATCGATCATTGAAAACCAATGAAAATCGCTAAAAGGGTAAGCATGTCCTGGTATACAGGTAAAACCCACCACCCACACAATTTTCAAAATAAAGTAAGTGGGCTTACCAAGAATAATCCGTGGATTCCCGAGCTCCTGTTCAACAAAGAAATCTATTTTGTACAAGAAAATATCTTCAATAATGTGCAAATAGCCAATTCCCTTCCACCAATTTACCCACTTGAATGTGAAACAAAAGAGACCACTGAAACCGCCTACTTTGTTTCATATTTAGATCTGTGCATGAACATTCAGAGTGACAAAAATACAATCCCCAAGACTGTATGACAAGGGGTATGACTTCAACTTTCCAAAACTCAACTTCTTATTATGTAGATTAATATTCCATCAGCTCCACCTTAGATCTACAATTTATCCAGTGTATTATGTCTCCTGGAAAAAAGGTTTCTGATTAAAATGACAACGATAAAACTAGCCAAGCAAACTATATTCCTTTGCTAATGTTATTCCACAAAAGGTAATCGTAAGAAAAATAGAGAACGTAATTACAAACAAATATAGTTGCAACTAGGTCCAGGGTGTTCATGATAATATAAGGGAGATTCTATCAGAATGCACTGGGTGATCGATGATGTGCTATGCATTATTAACAAAATTATTTCAATAATTGTACAAACCTTAAATGAAAAAAGGACATCGATGTCAGATAGATCTTTCACTGTCTCCTTAATGTGCAGTATATCCGCTGTCTCATCCCTCCCCTTCTTAGGGGGCAGGAAGATGTCCACTTGGTATAGAAGGGCGTCTCTACCATCATCAGCGTTGAGCACTGACAGGGTGAGACACGACATGGTGATGAGACCAGCGACGAACAGCAGCATTGTTGCAAGTCCTTACGTACAGGCAAAGAGGATGTTCTCTGAGGCAGGTAGTAGTGAGGCTCTGGCGCAAATGGGACCATGTGTTAGTTGAACGTGCACTGGCATGGGACTTTTAAGCAATTACTACTTAAAATGGTGATTTTTACATTGATACGGTCTTAATACATTGTTAATGTACAGAAAAATGTCAATTTAGTTTAGAAACATTCCCCGATTAGGCCACGATACGGAAATGAAAGTGGAACAATCACAAATGGTAAACGTCTTCGACCGGCACCACCTGGGGCTTTCCTCCCACATTAAACTGACAAACCGTGATAAAACTTAAATACTGTTTAAAGCAGCGTAAGGACCGCCTCCGTTGTCAAGGCGTTAGTAATGAGCGTGGTAGTCATGTTACACTGCGGCATGGTATCTCAGTGCGCAAGCACTACAAAATCTGCATTAGTCCGGACTAGTACAAGCAACCACGCATACACACACATGCATGCACGTCGCTTTATAAATGGAATAATCGTGGCTTGTTTTTCGTATTTCAAAAAACGAATAACGAACCAACTGTAAATACGATATCTTATATTTGTTATAGCAAGTCTGAATAACATTGCAGTTTAGTGTCTCTCGTACATCGAAAAGGCATTCTATTGTATTGGGACCAGTTATTCAATTGAGTCATCCGTTAGAATATTCTTTTCCCATTTCGTACAGTGTACATTTTTTGTAGTGACTTCTGAAATTAGTTAGTTGTAGAAGCATTTCGATCCATTTACAAATTTAAGTACATTTTCGATACATGGGTGTATAATTGGATTTTGCAACTTGTTCAATTCTTCTAGTTCAACATTAATTGCCTTGAAATAGTGTTTAATGGCCACGATAAGGCTGTTACATAGTAAGAAGTTCGTTTTTATCGCGAAAGATTTTGAAAAGTTGTCAAACGACAGAAATTTTCCATCTTTGTCAAGGAGGTCATTTAAGAAGCGTACCCCCTTTTGATTCCAGGTGCTATAAAAGACGGGCTGACGCCCAATACATATATTACTGTTAAACCAAATATTATCAGCCAGTAAATGATTTGCGTTGTGTTCCAGTTGAGCGTTTAAGTCCCACCAGGCAGTCAAAATATCTTTGTAGTAATTGTTAGGGGTAAGTGGTAGTAGTTTATTTCTTAAGTAGTTACAGTTATGTTCTAATATATTGCCTGCACCTACCGGTAACTTGGGAAGATTAAGATTAAATAGATAACTCCACTTGGATTTCGAAGTAAGAAAGCGTCTTATCATTGATATTTTTTTAGCCTGGATTGTTGCTTTAATGTTAGGGACATTGAACCCTCCATCCTTTTTTTCACAAATGATTTGGTTTTTCTTAATTTTGTCAGGCTTATTCTTCCAGATAAACTTAAAACAATTTCTTTGAAATGCATTAACAACATCAGTGTTTGGATTTGGTAGTCAACTGAATAAGTGATGTAGCTTAGGAACAATTAACGATTTTAAAATCGTGTTTCTGCCAAGGGGAGTAAGGTTGCGGGCTGACCAAATAGACATTAACCGTTCACATATTCTAATCTTTTCTGTATAATGTGTTACTATCATATCATGTAGGTCCTGGGTAAATGTAATTCCTAGAAGGTCAAAGTCACTTTCGTCCCAATTGAGATTAAGTTGGGGGCATAATTTCATTCTTGAGCGTTTTTTTTATCCAATCCATATGAGACGCGTTTTTTCAATGTTAACTTTTAGACCTGAAAATCTGTCAAAGACGTTTAATACATTAAACACAGCAAAGAGACATTGTTCGGAACCGTCTAAAATACATGTTGTATCGTCTGCAAACTGATTGATTAGAAATTCTACATTGTCTATTTTTACCCCTTTGATATTTTTGTTGTTTTTTATCATTATGGCAAGAATCTCTGCACAGAGAGTAAATATGTATGGAGAGAGTGGATCACCCTGACGACATCCCCTTTGTATATCAAACATAGGCGAACCATAACCATTTACAAGTACACTGGATTCTATCCCGTTATATAATGTCATGAACCACGAACGTATTGATCGTCCAAAATTGAAAAAGGCTAGTGTCTTATCTATGAAGGACCAGTCAACTGTATCAAACGCCTTTTCAAAGTCGATTAGTAGAAGTAGTCCAGGAATTTGGTGTGATTCTGTGTATTCCATAAGGTCATAAAGTAACCTCGTTATCTCGCCAATATACCTACCAGACATAAAACCTTTTTGGTCGTCGCTAATTAATATATGGAGCACAGATTTTATTCTTTTGGAGATAGCAAGTGAAGCTATTTTGTAAAAAACTGATAAAAGTGAGATAGGTCCCCAGTTTTTTAAAAACATTCTTGGTTTGTTACCTTTTGGAATGCAAGTAATAAGTCCCCTTTTTAGAGTTATGGACAATTCACCTTTATCATATGATTGATTTATAGATCGGATTAAAAATTTGTTGATATCTGACCAATTTTTTAAAAGAAATTCAGCAGTAAAACCATCGGAACCGGGGCTTTTATCATTTTTCAAACATTTCAGTGCTGCAAGTAGTTCTTCATAGTCAAGTTTGCTTTCTAGTGATGATGATGAATTTTATCCAGCTTTGGCACATTACAATCCTTCAAAAAAATTTCAAGATCAACATTACTAACATCGTTTTTCTTATGATAGAGTTTGGAATAGAATTTTCTAATTTCTTCTTGAATTTCCTGTTGATTTGTTAAAACATCGTCATACTCGTTTTGCAGACAAGAGAAAGATTTATTTATGAAATTTATAGACTCTAACGATAAGAAATATTTGGTTGGTTTTTCCCTCTTTTCGACTGCGTTTACTTTTGCCCTTACCATAAGCCCTTGCGTTTTGATCTTATTAATATATTCTAGTTTTTCATTTATCGTATCAATTTCCTTTAGTATCTTAGATTTTGGCTTCAGTGTCGTTAGTCGCATCCATGTCCTCAGTTAACATTAATCTCAGATATGAGTTCAGTTTCATCTCTTTCTCGTTGGCACTTTTTATAAGATGAATATTTAATAGTCTCGCCCCTTATCTGCAAGAGTAGAATTTCGAAAAACATCTGGTCGTCTATGGTAAACTCACTGTCAGTAGAGTCATAGTTCTTGTATTGTAAAATTGTTTCCGATATTGTTTTTTTGACAATAGCTACATAGTCTTTGTCCCTGAGAAGCGAGTTATTAAATTTCCAGAATCCTGCCCCCCTGTCTATTTCAGTTAGGGTAAATGACATTGATACTGGAGAGTGGTCCGACATAAAGCTTGGCTCTATCTGAGTAGCTGTAATAGACGGGATCATGTTATGGGACACAAGAAAGTAATCAAGTCTAGCTTGCTTCGATGGAGATGGTTGGCGCCAGGTGTATCTTTTTTCATTCGGGTCTCTCTGTCGCCAAGGGTCAACTAGGTCCATTTCATCTTTTAATTTCATTATTCTATCTCTCGCCTTTGGATTATTATTGTGTTTATAATTGAAGGTGTCAAAGTAATAATCTTGAACTACATTCCAATCTCCACAGACAATTATATGATCGCTATTTAGTGATGTTATCGCTGTTTCAAGATCGTTGTAGAAGGTAGGGTCGTCAACATTCGGACCATAAAGGTTAATGATAGCTAACTTATATTTATCGATTGTGATTTCGACGATTAAACTATTACCATCATTATCTTTTACAACATTATCAAGAGCAAAGTCTATATTTTTAGCAAATAGGATAGCAACACCTCTTGAATTACTACTATTAGGCAGCCTAATGACGTCACGGGATTCCCCGGTTCGTCATGAAGCCTATTTACAAACTGCAAATAGGCTTGAAATAAAAGCTTGAATCCTCCTTAAATATACACTCTTCTGACAGATATACATTCTCCATAAGAAATAATAGCCATACTTAACATATTTATAATGAAATCAGCATAGGCCAGCTTCTTCATACATGTCAGTAACATCCAAATGCAGACTGCCCATCCCACGTCCGCTCCCGACTGGGCTGTAATGGCGTCCGTTTGTGCTGATCGATCATTCACGTCGGCCGTACTTATTAATGCATGCGGAATTATTCTTTGTGTTAATAAATAGAATATTTGCATGAAAAAAAGGGAATATTTTTTACCGTTCTGAATCTGTAACTTTATGACCCTGTAGTTAATCATGGGTATATGTTAATAATTATTTTCCCGAAATCGTCACTGTTAAATCATAAGAAAATCTTGAGGATAACAATCTCGAAGATAAAGGCAGTTGATAAAATCCAGCGTAATAAACCGTGAATATCGCCGGTAAGAGTGATTTTTTTCCGATGTGTAAATAATAATGGATTTAACTAAAACTGTGCAATAAAATGAACCGGAAGTGACATGCCCCGTATAACTTTGCTTGGGTATATAAACGAGTGTCACCACGGGTGGCACGAGAAGAATACTCAACAGCATGTGGACGTGGCAAGAGATAGAGCTTCTTACAACTGATCTACAGATACCCTGTAAGTATTGCATTGACATTGTTGCACTTAATACTTTATTAGTTACATAAAACATTAGTTTAGATGAATAATACATATGTATTTCATGTACTGTTATGCCTTTTTCGGGATAGAACAGTTACGACATTTGGGTCCGAATTTTTTGCCGTGAGCATGTGAACTAAATTAGTTTGAATTAACACTGAGTGTGAATGTATGTTTCATGTTATTATAGAATATTAAACTGAAAAACTTCGCTTCGGTTTGAGGCTTATTTTACCTTTACCGTACCAAATTCAAAACGTTACAATAACTGCTCCCGCACATATAGTAACTATTAATAACTTTTCATGAATTCCCCCTATTAGCATTGTAACTAATATTTGTAGTATAAATTATGCAAGGAATATATTAATTTGCCACTCGTTATAAGAAAATAGAAAATACTTATTGTTTTTTGTTGCGACATATACATAAATATATCATTCTGATTTTACTTGTATTACTGTATGTGATTGCGATGTGAAATGGTATTATTACAAGATTAGGCTGAACATACATTCAGTTAG